AACAAAAGGGTTCTATGTGTTCAAACAAACAAAACATTAATAACAAAATTGGGTCCAAAAGTCCAAAAGCATTTGTTGCATAGCAAAAGTAAAAGACTCGCAACCCATTTGGTCAAATATATGAAATTTTAACAAAACAAAAAAAATTATTTGTAAAAATAAAAAAGTCGTTCAAAAAATAATTGATACCATTAATTACTCTCCCTAACCAGTCAATTACATCAATCAAACACACCGTCTCTCCTGTGTCTTTTATTGAATCACAAAAAAAAAAAAAAAAATCTCCTAATAAATTTACTATTAGTAATAAAAAATAACAAAAAATTTAAGTGAAAGTTTTGAAATAAACAAATGGTAGATCTTAAATAATTAGACGATATTGAAATTATATTATGAAAAAATAACAAATAAAATTTTTATAATGATGGTCGAAAATGTAGTATAATAATCCTTGATCATCAAGAACATACAAAAAATTATTATTAATTTCGAATTTTAAAAAATTAAATAAAAAATAAAAAAAAAGTCCAGCTTAAAGTCCTCGCTTTAGGCCCCAAAACAACTCGAGCCGCCCTGGATGTGTCAGATAGAATACATAACTTACTGGTCTAATGATCTTATCTCCGGTCTACGTGTGTGGGAGCAACTCAAACAAATAAGACAGTTTCGCAGAAAAAGGTATAGATAGAGAGGGCATGAGAGAGAGTTGGGCGTGAGAAAAAGTGGATGAGACGGGAATTTGAGGTCTCAATTTGGAAAGCATATCTTGGGATAGAGGGAGAAGACTTGACCGGGAGAGATTTGAGGGACAAAGGGGAAGATTTGGAGTGACTATTAAGGCGAGAGTTGACAGGGATTTCATGGAATGAGAGAAGGTTGGCTTGAGTTTGGAAAACAGATTTTGGGAGAGACCGGAGAAGATCTGGGAGACACGAGAAAAAAATGGAAAGTATTAGGCGTAATTTAGGATAAAGAAATAGAAAGTATTTAAGCGGGGAAAAAAATATTCGGGACTCATTTTAGTCCGTAGGATTAATAATCTTAAGATGATTTAAATCGTCTTTTACATTGAATTATTGTGGTTCTTTCGATATGTTTTTGTTTTGTCTTGAAACGATTTAAATTATTATTTGTCTTTGAAATTTAAAACTCCATGTACTTCTTTATATAGACATTAAAAGCGAGATAGGAGATCTTAAATTATTTTTTTTTGAACAATTCAAGAAAGATGCAAGCTATGCAATTACATAGTATTAATAGTCAATAATACAATAATGAGGGGATATTTAAACTTGAGGGATGTTTGGCCATCCCGCCCCTAGGTCCACCAATTCAGATGTTATAAACAATGTGTGATGGTACTACGGTTTGTGCGGATGATATGATTTATTATTATTTTGGATTAATTTAGAGTGTATTGTATCCAATGTCATTGATTTATTAAATAAGTGCCAATGGTCTGACATTTTATAGGTACTTATTATTTCGTTGGGTTTTGATATCGATATTGTTTGGTATGGAGGGAAATCAAGTCACTGTAGAGGTTATGCTATGATTCTCCTTGTGGAAGCTGTATTGTTATAAACAATGACACAACATTGTGAGAATTGTTGAATAAAATTTACGTTGTAATAGAGTTGTAAATGATTTAGTATAAGTTGAAACTGATATGTAGATATTTCGTTACACTAAAATTAAACATGACTATATATGTCCAATTGTAAATGTTTGANCCCATGGACACCCCTAGAGGGCGTTGAGACATTTTACAATATATATATATATATATTATAATTATTATAACANATTACCCAGCCCGAAGCCCGGCCCAAGAGCCCGCCCGCAAGCCCAACCCAGCCTACCATATCCTACATTTTTTTTGAAAAAAAAGTTATACTTTTAGACCATTAAATTTGAAATTTTGAAATAAGTCTCTCAATATCGAAATTTGAGGTTTTAAAAATTTAGATATTATAAATAATGTATTATTTTATTTTTCATGTATTAAACATATAAGTTTTAAATGATAGAATAATACAAATGATAGATAAGTTAGTAGGTGTCAACCTAGTTGAGATTTATTCATTCTATTAGATGTAGTTCATTATTTTATTTTTATCTATTTTGACTTTATTTTTGATTCAAAAATATAATTTACATAAATATTAAGTGACAAAAATATTCATTATTTTTAAATAAAAATGTATATAAAAAAGCTCGCAACACAGGCTCGCCCAATAGATTCACGAGTTGGGCTGCGAGTAGCCTACCACTACCCGAAGCCCGCCCTGGCCCATGGACACCCCTAGAGGGCGTTGAGACATTTTACAATATATATATATTATAATTATTATAATATAAAATAAGACGGTTTCAACAAACCCATCATAAGGTCTCAAATTCATTCATCAAACGGTCAAAAAATTAATTTTTTTTTCCTCAATATTTCTCTCCCAACAGGTCAATGATTACCATTTTCTTCCTTTAATATTTTCCTCCCAACCGATCAATAATTATGACTAATCTTGGAACACAAGATTTTTTTTGATATAATTATTAAATGAGTCAAATTTGTCATTAATATCATCTGTGTAGTGTAACATTTTGAATTTTTATAAGATACAATGATAACATTTTGATTAAAAAAAACTCATCAATTTAACCGATAAAAAAACAAGGGCGTTGTTTAACACAATTATACTGAATATAATTAATTTTAATTTTATTTATCTAATTAATTATCTCAAACGAACATGTATTACACATATATTGAATCAAAAGTTCAAGACTAATTTTTTTTATCTCTTAAGAAAACTCAATGCTATTATATTCTTATAAATTAATAATTTTGTAATAACTTGTGCTAATTAAAAAAATAATATTTTATAAATGATATTTGTTGAATTTTTTCTTTTGATAGAAAATATTTTGGTGATATATTTTTTGATATATTAGATTTTTAGTTTATAATAGATTTGACTCGATTTTGATTACATTTATATAAATTAATGTTCGATTTTGATTACATGTATATAAAACAAAAAATACTTCAGTAAGTTCACCAAACGGTCTCAAATAAACTCATCAAACGACCACCAACATCTCTCTCAAAATCATTCAGATTAAATTTTACCTTCTTCTTCTTCTCACTTTCTCTCTCTGGAAGTGGCAGAAGGAGGATAGGCTTAGAGCCACCCTGAATATTTTTTTAGTTATATATGTTTCATATATTCTTAATTGGGCTTAGTGTAATGATTTATGAAAAATAAATTTAATTAGGTCAAACAAGTTGGGTATTAGAACAAAAAAAAAAAAAGTCTATACCAAATCTCTTAAAACTAAAATTGATTCCTTAAAATATTTGTATGATTTGTTGGAGTCTCATTTAGTTCAAAAATTATGAAATATATAGTCAAAAATTAATAAAATATAAAATTTGTAAGAAGATTAAAAATTATAGAATATTCATTTTATTTGTGTCAAATCTATAATATAATAGGGTAGACTTCAATAAGCTCATTCGACAATTTCAAATAGACTCAACTAGGGATTAATTTATTTACAATAATCTGAACCTTGGTGAATGATATTTGTAGATCTTTTTTTGATAAAAAATATTTTGGATATATGTTTTTTTGATAAATTAGATTTTTAGTTTATATTAGATTTGACTCGATTTGATTATATGTATATAAATTAATATTTTTTTAAGTCAATTCTATCATATTTCGTTAATTTATCTATAATATAAAACAAGAAAAATTCGAATAAATTCATCCAATGGTCTCAAATAAACTCATTCAACGGTTATCAACATTTCTTTCAAAACCATTTAGATTGAATTTTACCTTCCCTTTCTCAATCTTCACACTTCACTCTTCACTCTCTGGTAGTGGTGGAGGGCAGAATTTTTATATTATAGATTGAATTTTACCTTCTCCTTGAATTTTTTTTTGTTATAATTGTTTTAAATATTTTTTTTTGAATATTCTTAATTGGGTCCACTGTCATAATTTATGAAAAATAAAATTAATTGGGTCAAACAAATTAGGTATTAGAACCAAAAAAAAAGTCTATACCAAATCTCTTAAAACTAAAATTGATTCCCTAGAGTATTTGTATGATTTGTTGGAGCATCATTTGATTCAAAAATTATGGAATATATAGTCAAAAATTAGTAAAATATAAAATTTGTAAAAATATTAAAAATGATACAATATTACTTTTATTTGTGTCAAATTTATAATATAAAATTTAACAGATTTCAATAAGTCCATAGACTCATTTAACGACTACTAACATCTTTTTTAAAATCATTTACAAAAAATTCCTCCCTTTTTAAATGTATCACTTCTCACTTATATTACGCTGCATCTTCGTGCACGAATTACCCGGGACAAATATTAGAGAGACGGGAGAGGTTTCAAGTATTGTCATAGTCAGAGCACGAGGGGAGCTTCGTAGAAAGTCAAATGCCCCATCCCATGGCTGCCCTGCTGTGTCTGTCATGAAAACAATATTCAATTTATAGAAAAATATATTTTAGAATAAGTTACTTGTAATAATGTGCAATGTTCCCGTCGCGTCGGTGTAGGTATGGGAGAGTGAAAATAAAATATATTATTTTCACCCTCCCATACCTATACATGCCAATCATAAATTATTCCCACAACTTCCCCACACTCAAACATCAAATGGTTCTCCCTCTACGATGAACACAATTCCAGTGCTTTTGCCTACAATCTACATTTTATTTGTGATTTTCAGAATGAATAATAAAATAAGCAAACTGTTAATTCCCATTACGAATATCATTAATGTATTCGTAGTTGTTTTTTGTTTTTTAATCCAAGTTGAGTTGGGGCGGTTGTTGAGAAATGATAATAAAGCCACCAGTGGTGAGGAAGTTGTGGACAATTATTTTTATATTTAAGTAGACAATATTCTCATCTCCTCCGGCACGGGAATTGCAATATTCTCTTCAGATCAGAAAGGAAAAAATGGAAAGCAAGCCAGTGATTGTTGCTAAAGCCACCAGTGGTGATTCCTCATCTCTCAAATCTCCATTTCTCAGAAACTTCTGGTTTTAGATGGAAATTTCATAGCATCTTCTACCTCTTTCCACATTGTAGATCTATAAATTATTTTTATATTTAAGTTAGTAGACAATCTCATCTTCTCTGCCACCGTCATATACCATTTTCTGATTTTCTCTTCAGATTATTCCCAAGGAAAAATGGAATGCAACCCAGTGACTACTGCTAAATCCACCAGTGCTGATTCCTCATCGCCTTCGCCGGTTGAGATTGTCGATGGAAATTCCTCCCCGCAGGTTTGTTTTTCTACTCTCTCTCTCTTTCTCTCAAACGACTCTCCTTCCATTTTCTCCACTTATACTTGATTTTCCTTATTTGCTAGAAAATAGAAAACACACCTGTGACTACTGCTGAAGCCACCAATGGTGATTCCTTATCCTCGGATGAAGAGGCGGTAGTTTGTGTGAGCACTAATTATAAATTTTAATTTTTAATTTCTTATCGATTAAAAATAAATAATACATATAAATTCATTATATAACACTTAAAAATTCATTACCACTTCTTTTGTTTGTAGATAGTAATAACTTTGATTTAGACTTTCTTTTAAAGTATTTATCTATGATTGTTTCAAATAACTAATAAAAAGAATAAATAAGGAACAATTGTAGAAGGAAACAAATACAAGTCCACGTACAATTTTCCCCCAAGAGGTTGGTTTTCTACTGCTTCTTTCTGTCTCTGTCTCTGTCTCATTCTCTCTCTTCCCATTTTTCTTTCCCTTGTTTTTAGGACTTACTTTCCAATATCTCTGCTTATACTTAGGTTCCGTTTGATAATCGTGTCTTTGTATATTTTTTTTTTTGTTTCTGTGTTCACTTTTGAAAAAAAAAAAAAGAGAAAACAATAACGTGTTTCTGTTGTGTTTTTATTTGTTTTAAGCCACCTTGTTTTAAAAACATGGTCCAAATTTGTAAACACAAAAAATGATGCTTTTGTTAGCTCCATTAATTACGTCTCAGAAAACAATTTTGGCTTCTCTCTCTCTCTCTCTCTCTCTGGTTTTGAATTTAAAATTTTCATTCTGCTCCTCCTACTCCAAAGCCAAGGAAGGGGAGACGTCATTTTGAAGTTTCAGACATTGTAGCCGATGCAGATGCCAACACTACGACTACTAATAATAATAAGGTAAGTCAGGATATTTCTCATTTCTATATCTTTATCCCTTTCCACAGCACTCTCTTTATTACGGCTTAAAGGTGTAATTTTCTCTTCAAAGAATCTGACAGTATGTGTGCGTGGCTGAAGAGTGGGTTGCATTTGTGTGTGTAGTTTGTTTCTATGTTGGCTGAGAGTCTTTGTGTGAGNTTTTCTCTTCAAAGAATCTGACAGTATGTGTGCGTGGCTGAAGAGTGGGTTGCATTTGTGTGTGTAGGTTGTTTCTATGTTGGCTGAGAGGCTTTGTGTGGGTCTGTGAGTGTGATGGCTGAGGGGTTTGGGTGTGCTGTTTGTGTATGAGAAAGGTAGAAGGAGGGCGGGAGAGGGGTGGCAGAGAGATGTGCTTGCAAACAACAGCAGGTGTGGGTGTGGGTTCTCTTAGGCATTTCAACAAACACGTCATGGGCATTATGATGGGGTCTGGGTTTTGGGCATCTCAGAAAACATTTCAGTGAGAAACAAAAAGAGGGGAGGGGAGGGGATAGAGAGAAATACCTGGAACATTGCAATGTTGCTTTGCTGGTGACGGTGGCACTGGTAGGCTAAGAGAGAGAGAACCCGTGAGTGTTTTAAGGGTGTTTTGTGTGTGTGTGTGTGTGTGCGCTGTGTTTGTGTGTGTTCTTTGCGCAGAAGGGGGTGTGTTCTGCGTTGGTGAGAGGGCGTGTGTTTGCGAAGAAGAGGAATGGAGAGAGGGTGTTTGCGCATAGGGGAAAGAAGGGTAGGGGTCTGCTAGGTTGCTGGTGGTGTTGCTGACGAAGTGGCAGTGGTGGTGGTGTTGCTTGACAGAGAGAGAGAAAGATAAAGAGAGAGAGAGGGTAAGGACTAAGAGAGGGTGGGAAAAAAAAAAAAGAGAGAAAAACGATGCAGCATGTGTCAGGCGCTGTGTATTAAGTGCATGGAGTAACGTTAAGAGGGAGGGGACGGCTGTAATATGATGATTTTGAGTGAAAAAATGTGTGTGTGTACTGTTATATATAGATCTATGTGTGCTGCATATATATCTTTGTATGTATATATATATGTGTGCGTGTCTGTGTGTGTCCCAGCAAGAGGATGAGTCTGTGAGTGTGTCAACAAGAACATCTCTAATTTTTTTTTTTTTTATATCACAAAGAACATCTCCAATTGAGGTATTTGGGATGAATATATTAACTAAAATAATATTAATAAAAATATTATCCAAAATATATAGCATCAAACATGTTTTTTATTTTTATTTTTATAATTTTTTAAATATAAATGACTATTAAATATGTTTTATATTTTTAATTTTTATCACAAAAATAATAAAAATTAATTATGTCTTTTTTTATAAAAAAAAACATAAAATTAAAAATATTACTAAACGCACCCTTAATTTTCCTGATTTGCTAGAAAATGGAAAAAAACACCCGTGAATGCTGCTGAGGCCACTAGTTGTAATGTCTCATGGCCATGGGTTGATATTAACTATATCATGGACGAGGTTTCTGTACTCTTTCTTTCTCTTCCAATTTTCTTTCTGCCGCTTTTGAGACTCACTTGACCCTCTATCTCCATTTATGGCTGGTTGTTTTCCTTATTTGTATTTTTTTAATTATAAAAAAAGACAACAAACATGAAAAGAGAAAAAGAAAAGTTGTAATGTTGGACATCTCTTTTAATTTATTATATCTTGAATGATACTCTCTCTATTATTCAAAACATAACTGACACTCCTACTGTTAAACCATCGTTCATAATAAAAAAAAATTATTTGAAATGCCAAAATTACCCATACATAAACCCCAAATAATATTTCCATATAAAATTTGATTAAAATTCGAGTTAATTAAAAATTGACTCAAGCTGATTATAATTTATTTTTTTATTTATTAAAATTCGAGACTTAAATTTTAATAAGTAAAAAAATAAAATTTAATCACCTCGAATCGGATTTTAATCGACTCAAATTTTAATACATAAAAAAGTTTTAAAAATAGAGAAAGTCTCGTTAAAGATATGTCTATTTAAAAAAAGGGTGTGGATAAAATAATTAACCAAAATGTTTTGATATTTGAAGTAGATATGACAAAGGGAACACACCCCCACGGCACCACATACTCAGATTAGAATGCAGCCCCACTTTTTTAAATGAAAAGGAATAACAAGATATAATGTATATATCAAGCATTTTTTTCTTTTCTTTTCTTTTTTGAATCTAATAACACGTACCTCTACAAGGTTTTTATAATAGAAATAATCGTAGAAGTAATTCATAATTCGATCCTAACCTTATCATGTCAAATAATATCCTAAATAGATCCTACATTAAACTAGCTTTTTACAATGAAAATTGGTATTTTATTTCTCCCTCTCTTCTCCAATCTCTATTTATATTTAATTTCTCTTCTTTAATTTTGCCTTCTTATGTTTGAATAGTAAATGAATGAATTTACCAAATTCACTTGACTAACACGATTCAAATTTATAAATATACAGAGGGATAGAGCTCCCTTGGGGCCATGCCCCCACAGTTCAATTGTCGGTGGTGTTTAAATTAACTTATGCGTATTTCGACTAATTCTATTCTCGTTTTAGTTAAAAATAGATTATCGATGCCGAAATTAGGATATTCATCAGTAATAAATCTCTATGACCTGGCCTCAAGGCAACCCACTCTACACCATTTTTAGATTTTAAAAATTTTGATGCCTCCCTCTAGGGTTGTCCATGGGCCGGGTTGAGCTAGGCCCGTGAATTTTTTTTTGGGACGAGTCTGGGTAGTGTAGGCTTAAGTCCTTACCCAAGTGAGTTATCGGACGGACCGGACTGGACTTCGGGTATAGGTAGGCTACCCACAGCCTAACCCGCCAGCCTATTGGGTGGGCCTATTTGAGAGTTTTTTTATATATAATTTCATTTTAAAATAATGAATATTTTTGTGACTTAATATTTGTGTAAATTATATTTTTAAATCAAAAATAGAGTCAAAATAGATAAAAAAAAAATAATAAAATAATGAATAATTTTATTTTTAATTAAAGGATGAACTACATTCAATAGAATGAATACATTCTAACTAAATTGACACCTACTCACTTATCTATCATTTGCATTATTCTATCCTTTAAAATTTGTATGCTTTATGAAAAAAAAAATAATACATTATTTATAATATATATTTCTAAAATTTCAAATTTCGATATTGGGAGATTTATTTTAAAGTTTCAAATTTTATAATTTAAAAATATAACTTTTTTTTAAATGAAGGGTGGGCGGGCTCTTGGGCCGAGTTTTAACAGGCTTTTTCGGGCGGGCTATTGGGCCGGGCTTCGGGTTTGGGGGTAAACCCAAACCATATTTTCAAGAATATATTGGGCTAGGGTTCAGGTGGGCCAATTATCTGGCCTATCAGATTTTGAACCATTTTTTGGGCCGGGTAACTGGACCCGTGGATAACCCGGCTCATGGATACCCCTACCTCCCTCTGAGATTTTCAAAAGCTATATTTTCATCTATTGTATTAGTAGGCTTAATGACCTAACTATAGGATGTAAGGATAATGTTTAAATTTTATAATCCAACTAAGTTTTTTCGGTGTAGGATTAAAGATCAAGTCCAGGATATGAGTCAAATCGACCCTTTTAGCCGCGGTTGGGCACTCAATACTGTGCACAACCAAGCTCAGACCATTAATCTATGGACTGCGCTCCTGAGTTAGTAAACCTCCTATGTCGGACCCAATTGTTGTACAAGAGACCTATGAATGTCGGTTGGTGGATCCCTTTAGTAGATCCTCTAATTTATTCCCAGTAGTCGATGAATCTTTGCCACTATTCCTGGATATATCATGTTGAAGTTGATTTTGGATAAATTTTATGTAAGTATAAATTTAACAATAACAATGACTTGTTGAATAACATTCCAAATTTTGTCATTATTTGCCCCGTAGAAAATCTTGACTCTGTTCCTAAATATACATGATAATAATAGACAAAGTTTAATAGGATTTTTTGCTTTTTGCATCCCAAAAAAATCTCTCGATTCTCACTTTATACCTTGAAAAGATTATTTTTTCCACATTGCACATTGAATATCATAAATTGGTTTCAATGTGGCATTCGGATTAACATCCGTTTCAGATTCTATTAAAAATTAATACAATTGCCACCCATATGTGATGTTTTTGGATAAAAATGTAAACTCACCATCCATATCCTTGGGTGGCATGTGCATTAATTTTTAACGGAATTTGAAATAGAAGTTAGTCCGAGGGCCACATTGGAACCAATTTATGACATTCAAGGTGTAATGTGGGAAAAATAAATTTTTGGGGTATAAAGTAAGAATCGAGATATCTTTCATGGTGCAAAATGCAAAAATCCCATTTTAATATGACACAAACTCTAATTTTCACTAAAAGAAATTGCATTAATATTTCTCTCTATCTATAGAGACAGGCTCGACGACGACCATCTTCATCCAAAAGGTCCAATGGGGGAGGGAATTGTGATACNTCACTAAAAGAAATTGCATTAATATTTCTCTCTATCTATAGAGACAGCTGGCTCGACGACTACCATCTTCATCCAATGGGGGAGGGAATTGTGATCCAATGAAGTTCAGTGTAAGTTGGTTGATTTCTACCTGGCTAGATGATAAATTCCAAGGCTTACATTACTATATTCACCTACATTAACCTTTGGATTTTTTTGTTACATTTGCGAATGTCATTCCAATAGTCATACATAACGTGTTTGCAGCAAACGGATCTAAGTTATAATAATAGGTTGAGGACTACCTAATGCAAACACTTGAAAATTCAAACAACATGGTTGCTTGATCAATATACATTGATCTTACAAGTTGTTTGTTAAAAATTCAAGGATAAAACATTGAATTTGAGTTGAATTAGAGCCCCACTGTGAAACAATCTTGGCTCCGCCCCCTGGGTGTTGCAAAGTTGGTGAGTCAAGTCTCTCAACCAATTGATTGAATTTCCGGATTGTTTGTCTAAATGTCTCAATTTAGCTGCAATCAATTTGCTTATTGTTTCAATTCAGTTTGTTAACCTACATGTACGGAAGTTTGTATGACATGTGGGAGGATGTGTAGAACAATTAATTATTCAATTATCGTAGTTTTGAAACTTATTTATGAAATGTGATAGTTTAAAACTTATTTACTAAATTATCATTTTTTTTTCAAAAAACAAGTAATTTCAAAATAATGATAATTTTACAAACAAATGTAGAACTCTAATATTTAAGTAAATAAAATTAACCCAGCTTGCAACAAACCATTATTGACTAGGCTTTCATTAAAAAAAAAAAAA